TGGTTTTAGCCAGTGAGTGGCGGCATCTACTCGGGAGCCCAACCCTGTTCCCCAAGAAAGGACCCAGACTAGTCAGAAGTTTCCTTGCGGAGCGAAGCCTAGCGCGTCCCGCTTTTGAATCAGAAAGGCTAGCTGCCTGTGTCCCCTTTCCAGGACTGGAGTAGGGCAGCATTTACTGGTAAAGCTTAGTCGAGGCCCCATTCCTCTACCTCCAACTCTGGACTTAAGGCAGATTTGAGGCGGTCTGAGCGAAGTTGAGTCCAAACTCGCAGAAAAGTAGCTGTTGTGCGTTTTCCTTTTTGCCACTTAACGCGCGCGTAGCTAGTTCCCTCCAGACTTTGGAGCCCTGTGCTTGAGAGCCTTCAGCCATGAAGGAAAGGCTTCACCTTTACGTTGACGTGCATTTACCTTTATTAACATTGCAGAGCAATTCGGTTGCCTGGAGTTCCAAGGGAAGTTGTATGTGTGCCCATGTGATAACGTCAGTGGAAGCTGCCCGGAGTAAGTGAGGGATCCAGAAGTTTGGAACATAAGTCAGTAAGAATTCGCTTTACATAAACTTCATACATTTAACCTGGCTTTAACTTAAGAGATGTTAAATTTCGCCTTGTCCAAGGAGGCACAGATCAGCACTTCTTAACTGCACTCGAATTAGTAGAAGGAAATAAAAAAGGCTGACCAAAACAAATGGTCCCAGGTTCCAGATAAGTCATCAAAACTTTTTTTCCTGAGGAATTCATCCTGGGACTTTGTAAGCTTCTGAGTTCCTAGTTTCCTTGCACTTGACGAACTTTTTCTTGCCCAGAGCACTGTGTTTTTTCCATTGGCGTCTTTGGGACCGGTGTACACATTTTCCCTTTTGTCCTTAAAAAAAAAAAAAAAATCACTGAAGAAGTCCAATATGATCTCAAGTTATTATTAGTCTCCAGGGCTTGTGCTTTAGGTTTTCTCTTCAGGGATGGAGGTGTCAGTTTTAAGAAAGCTATGGAAAAAGTAGTCTGTTTTGATATTTGCCAGGTAAAAAAGTGGGGACTTTCTCTTCGAAAGAAACAGGTTGACTTGTAGGTTAAGTAAGGAAGATTAATTTCTTAACTAAAATCTTGTTTTGAACAAGCAGGGTGTTTAATATATTAAACTTCTGAATCAAATTAAGTAATCACTTCTCATTTTTTCCTTCCATTCCTAACCCCTTTCATATCTTTCTAAACAGTATTGTCTTAACATGGAAGGTTTATCAGTAAGAATTAGCTGAATTAATTTGGTTTTATTTAAATTGTTTTTCTATTTCTACATTTTTCTTTTTCTTTGATTCATTTTCCCCCGATTATAAAAGCAGTTTATGCTCATTGTAGGAAATTTGCAAAATGCGGGAAAGTATAATGAAGTGGAGAGGAAAAACCACCACCCAAAGGGCATCATCATTCTTCACTATTATGTTTCCTCCCCCCCATGATCTGTTTTAATATCTCAAATATTCACAAAATTTGCTTTTTGCTGTTTTTTTTTTTTTAAATGTAAAGTTGGATATTTTGGGGATTGGGTGTTAATTCTGTTCTTCGTTCTCCAAAGTGTGGAACTTCAAGATAGGAAAGATATTTAACTGTTATCTCATTTGTCCACTCATCCTTTGTGATTCTGAACCCCATTTATTAGAAACTCCAGTGATTTATGCTGAACTGCACAGCACTGAGTGGCAATGATAACTGACTCTAGATTTCCCAGTTCTCTTTCTTCAGAGATGCTTTGCTGCTTAGGGGAGAAAATTGACACTGCCTGTGTCTGTTTAACTTTGAAAGATAGGTTCAGAGAGGGACAGGAGATAATTTGCAAGCATTTGAAATGTTTTATTTTTTTTTCAGGTTTTCATTTTTCTGTTTACATTTTCAGATTTGGGGCTTTAGCATCTTGCAGAAAGCAGGACCACACAGTTGCTTTTTCATCTACTCCACATTCAAGTCTCCCTGCAAAACTGGGGGTCCTGAGACACTCTGAGCCTGTGACCCCAGCGTGGGAGAAAATAGGATCAAGATGGCTATGTGGCAGGGTAAGGAATTAGTTCTTATTCCTTTAACTGGTTTTGCCTCCTACTCTATCTTCCACCCCGAGCCAGTGAGTGGCGGCATCTACTCGGGGGCCCAACCCTGTTCCCCAAGAAAGGACCCAGACTAGTCAGAAGTTTCCTTGCGGAGCGAAGCCTAGCGCGTCCCGCTTTTGAATCAGAAAGGCTAGCTGCCTGTGTCCCCTTTCCAGGACTGGAGTAGGGCAGCATTTACTGGTAAAGCTTAGTCGAGGCCCCATTCCTCTACCTCCAACTCTGGACTTAAGGCAGATTTGAGGCGGTCTGAGCGAAGTTGAGTCCAAACTCGCAGAAAAGTAGCTGTTGTGCGTTTTCCTTTTTGCCACTTAACGCGCGCGTAGCTAGTTCCCTCCAGACTTTGGAGCCCTGTGCTTGAGAGCCTTCAGCCATGAAGGAAAGGCTTCACCTTTACGTTGACGTGCATTTACCTTTATTAACATTGCAGAGCAATTCGGTTGCCTGGAGTTCCAAGGGAAGTTGTATGTGTGCCCATGTGATAACGTCAGTGGAAGCTGCCCGGAGTAAGTGAGGGATCCAGAAGTTTGGAACATAAGTCAGTAAGAATTCGCTTTACATAAACTTCATACATTTAACCTGGCTTTAACTTAAGAGATGTTAAATTTCGCCTTGTCCAAGGAGACACAGATCAGCACTTCTTAACTGCACTCGAATTAGTAGAAGGAAATAAAAAAGGCTGACCAAAACAAATGGTCCCAGGTTCCAGATAAGTCATCAAAACTTTTTTTCCTGAGGAATTCATCCTGGGACTTTGTAAGCTTCTGAGTTCCTAGTTTCCTTGCACTTGACGAACTTTTTCTTGCCCAGAGCACTGTGTTTTTTCCATTGGCGTCTTTGGGACCGGTGTACACATTTTCCCTTTTGTCCTTAAAAAAAAAAAAAAAATCACTGAAGAAGTCCAATATGATCTCAAGTTATTATTAGTCTCCAGGGCTTGTGCTTTAGGTTTTCTCTTCAGGGATGGAGGTGTCAGTTTTAAGAAAGCTATGGAAAAAGTAGTCTGTTTTGATATTTGCCAGGTAAAAAAGTGGGGACTTTCTCTTCGAAAGAAACAGGTTGACTTGTAGGTTAAGTAAGGAAGATTAATTTCTTAACTAAAATCTTGTTTTGAACAAGCAGGGTGTTTAATATATTAAACTTCTGAATCAAATTAAGTAATCACTTCTCATTTTTTCCTTCCATTCCTAACCCCTTTCATATCTTTCTAAACAGTATTGTCTTAACATGGAAGGTTTATCAGTAAGAATTAGCTGAATTAATTTGGTTTTATTTAAATTGTTTTTCTATTTCTACATTTTTCTTTTTCTTTGATTCATTTTCCCCCGATTATAAAAGCAGTTTATGCTCATTGTAGGAAATTTGCAAAATGCGGGAAAGTATAATGAAGTGGAGAGGAAAAACCACCACCCAAAGGGCATCATCATTCTTCACTATTATGTTTCCTCCCCCCCATGATCTGTTTTAATATCTCAAATATTCACAAAATTTGCTTTTTGCTGTTTTTTTTTTTTTAAATGTAAAGTTGGATATTTTGGGGATTGGGTGTTAATTCTGTTCTTCGTTCTCCAAAGTGTGGAACTTCAAGATAGGAAAGATATTTAACTGTTATCTCATTTGTCCACTCATCCTTTGTGATTCTGAACCCCATTTATTAGAAACTCCAGTGATTTATGCTGAACTGCACAGCACTGAGTGGCAATGATAACTGACTCTAGATTTCCCAGTTCGCTGTTTTTTTTTTTTTTTAAATGTAAAGTTGGATATTTTGGGGATTGGGTGTTAATTCTGTTCTTCGTTCTCCAAAGTGTGGAACTTCAAGATAGGAAAGATATTTAACTGTTATCTCATTTGTCCACTCATCCTTTGTGATTCTGAACCCCATTTATTAGAAACTCCAGTGATTTATGCTGAACTGCACAGCACTGAGTGGCAATGATAACTGACTCTAGATTTCCCAGTTCTCTTTCTTCAGAGATGCTTTGCTGCTTAGGGGAGAAAATTGACACTGCCTGTGTCTGTTTAACTTTGAAAGATAGGTTCAGAGAGGGACAGGAGATAATTTGCAAGCATTTGAAATGTTTTATTTTTTTTTCAGGTTTTCATTTTTCTGTTTACATTTTCAGATTTGGGGCTTTAGCATCTTGCAGAAAGCAGGACCACACAGTTGCTTTTTCATCTACTCCACATTCAAGTCTCCCTGCAAAACTGGGGGTCCTGAGACACTCTGAGCCTGTGACCCCAGCGTGGGAGAAAATAGGATCAAGATGGCTATGTGGCAGGGTAAGGAATTAGTTCTTATTCCTTTAACTGGTTTTGCCTCCTACTCTATCTTCCACCCCGAGCCAACACCACCCCCCTACTCAGCTAATGGCAGGCAGCCAGTTGTTTCTTTAATTTAACCCTTTGTTTTTGCAAGAACAAAGCACATTAGTTTTAAAACGGCCACTTCTAGCTAGAAGTTATTTTAAAGTGTGCATGGTGGAGAGCAGGAAAGCGTCCTGCCAGAAATATTTAAGTGAACTCTCTTCATTTAAACATGTGCTTGTAGGGATTACATGTGAAGAAACAGAGCATGTTATTTGTATGTGCCATTTGTTTTGGGCACATTTCTATCATGAGATTCTCAAAGGTGAGAGATATAGATGCTAACTCCTCTCTAGCTTCCTATTCCCAATAAAAACTTTCTTGGGATTAAACATGGCTTGAAAAAGCATATTTAATATTATAATGTTTATAGTTAATGATAAACGGAAAAGGCCTGTTACAAAATACAAACTATTCAAAAGCAAAGCTCAACGGTATCTTAACCAATGGGATATCTCTTGTGAACCTGTGAACCCCTACCACATACAAAGTTATTTTTATTTTTGGTGGAGTTGGAGATTGTGCTCTTTTGAAGTATATCAGAATCTCCAGGGTTGTGTGTGCTTTTTTTGTGTTTATCAGAGGGATTGTGGGCTTAAGAAATGATAGACGAACACTGCCAAAATTGGCCTATGACCACAAAAGGTTAAGGACCATTTAGATGGAGTAGAATGAAAGGGATTTAGTATCTGTAATTAAATTATTCAGCAGGTAGTTTGTTGATGGTTTAATGTATCTTTTAAAAATGTTTATTGTGTTGGTTATAGTTTAAAATATGTAGGCACACAAGCGTAACAATAACTTGGATATACAACAATTGTCAACGTAAAAACATTTGTTGAGATGGAATTTGGCCTGTATGCCTACTTTATTCACACAATGGGCATTTATCAAGAGTGCTTGGGGGACCAGCAGTTGGTATAATGGCTTTGTCGCTGGATTCCCATGTAGTCAACTGCAGTTCAAGTCGTGGACCCGGTGGCTTAAACTCACACCGGGCACGTGTGCGTGCATGTCCAAGATCCCGAGAGGAGGATGGACAAGAAGGGATTGCAACGTGGCCATTCCCCCCAGGGGGTGATTTCTCACTTTCTGTCTCTCTGTCTCTCTCTGTCTTTCTTGAGAGCTCATGTACCTTATAGCAAAAACCTTCCCCCCCCCAAAAAAAAAGACCACTTGGATAGTCTTGCTTATATCCTGAAACATTCTTTCATTTAACAAACAAAATCCAGAGATGAGTAAGAGAGTAAGACACAGAATCCCAGAGGGTTCCTTGTCATCCAGGAAAGACAGACATACAAACAAATGATTATGTCATGTTGAGTGCTAACAATAAAGGATATGTGCAAAATGTAGTGGAAGCCCAGAAGAAAGTGTGGCGAACTCTAGTTTTGAGCTGGTCTAAAAAATTAGTACAAGTTTGCCAGATGGACAAATGAGAGAATTGCATTCTAGGCAGACAGAAGGGGACTGTTTGAGAACTTCCAAGTTACTTTGTTTGCCTAGTGTGAGATGTGCAGGGGCATGAGCTCAGTAGAAGCAGGTACGGTAGTCGGAGGCCATATAATAAAGAACTATGGATGTTCGAGGAAGGATTTTACACTTTATCCTGAAGTCAGAGATTCTAAACAGGACAGTAACATAATCAGATTTTATTTTTGAAAGATTACTTTGGCAGTGGTGCTAAGGTGGGTTGGACCTGGAGACAGAGGAAGCCAGGAGTCAGTCAGGGGATTTTGAAATAGTGGTTTAGGGGAAAGATGGTGAGGATCTGAGCAGAAGCTAGAGGCAGTGAGGTTAGAGAGAACAGGATGAATTCTAAAATTGTTCTGTGACCAGATGCGACAAGAACCAAGCTCACCTTGGCAGCTGCTTTGGCTACCTGGGAGCCAGTGGTGCCATTCACTGAGATGGGGAGCATGAGAGACAGCCGAAGGTCTTGGGAATGGGGGAAGTTAGTATAGGACTGAACATCATTTGCCCCATTCGGGTTGAGACACCTGTGGGCTGTCAAGTTGGTGTTTCAAAGATAATTTAAAAAGTATACAGCTGGGGTTTGTGCAGGTGAATATTTAAAGTTTTGTTCTTAATGATGCATAGGCTGTGTATTTTTTCTGTACAGTTAACAGAAATGTCATTAGTAGTTAATGATTGATTTATTTATAATAAAAACCTTTTAATGTTTAACAATTCTTAATTTTAAAAAACCTTTTATTAATAAATAATATATTTAGCAAATTCAGGCCCTGAACAGCTTACAATCACATTGATAGGACCAGCAGATGGTGCAGTGGTTACCTCGCTGGACTCCCACAGAGTTGACTATGGTTTGATTCCCGGACCCAGCAGCCTAAAATTCACACCAAGTGCATGTGTATGCATGCCCAAAATCCTGGGAGGAGAATGGGGGAGAAGGGATTGTGGCATGGCCATCCCCCCAGAGGGGGTGATTTGTCACTTTCTGTATCACTGTCAAGCACATGCACCATATAGCAAAAAATCTCTCTCTCTAAAAAAAAAAAATCACATTGATGTGAAACCTCATTTTTCCAACAATAGTGAAGAGGGAAGTATTCCACGTAAGTAAACTCTTTGGGGAGGCATAGCTTATCCCTTGTTTTGGGCAGTCTCTGAAGTGACAAGCATAGTATAATGATAGTTTGGAAGGCAGTATGATATAATAGTTAAATGTGTGGGTCTGTGTTTAGCTCCATTGGTTCCATTACTTGGTAGCCGTGAGACCTTGGGCAAGTAGCTTAACCTATCTGTGTCTCAGTTTCCTCCTTTACAAAGTGGGAAGAACAATTACATTCAAGTTATAGGTTTGTTGCTAAGATTAATTAAATATGCAAAGTGAGACCAGCAGTTGGTGTAACGGCTATGTCTCTGGACTCCCATGTTGTCGACTGCGGTTTGAGTCCTGGACCTCGTGGCTTGAACTCACTCGAGGCATGTGTGCGTGCGTGCCCAAGATCCTGTGAGGAGAATGGGGGAGAGGGGATTGCAGGG